AGTTTTTAAGTTTTGGTTAAAACACATGTAGGGTACTAGAAAAACAGACAGATTGCTGAACTTGGGAGTTCAGGGAGCTAGGTTTAAATCTTAGCTCTTTAACACATTAGAAGAACAGCATAACTATTTAACAATTTAGAACTTCAGTTTCTATGTCTGCAAAGTAATATAGCATCCCTTTTTCACAAGCTAGGAAGTGGTTATCTATGACTAGGTACTGGAAGGATTAGCATTAATAGCACTTGGCACACAGTTGTACTCACTGCCTCAACCTACGTGCATCAAATTGATTGAGATAAAACTTTGATGCCTTTACACCCACATGATTTAAATAAACATGAATTAGTAATTATTTATTCTCCATTTCCTTATTTTAAAATAGCCCCTTCATTCCCAAATGATTTCAGGTTAATATGCATATAAACTAATGTAACCTGTAATTTCAATGTAGAGATGAATCTATCTTGGTTTTTCACTTCTTGTTCTAGTTGGAGAGTATTCTGGTATTTTTCAACTTCAGAAATTGGAGCCCCTAGACCAAAATCATGTTCTTTGGTGGTAACCTAGTGGGAAGAAGAGAAAATAATATTCGGTTTAAAACAGCTCTCAGAATTCCTGTAATCATTAATAAAATTTAAAAATAAACAATATTTTAGATACATTATTCAATGGTTTTATCTATCTCCCACCAGTCCAGAGAATTTCATCAAGCTTCATTATCTTTAAATTTTATATTATTTAAAATTTTGTGTCTTTCTTTTTTAAAAATCATTTTATTGGGGGCTTGTACAATTCTTATCACAATCCATACATACATCCATTGTGTCAAGCACATTTGTACATTTGTTGCCATCGTCACTCTCAAAACATTTACTTTCTACTTGAGCCCTTTATATCAGCTCCTCATTCTTCCCAAAATTGTGTTTTTCAAATATAAAAGCATGAACCCAACTACACCTTTCCAAATAAGATATACTCCATTCCATTCCATTCCCTAGGTAGTGACTGTTCTAAGGAAATACCAGTTAGCAACAAAATAAGACTAGTGGTTCAGTGGTAGAATTCTAGTAGTCAAGAGACCCAACTGTGATTCCTAGTCAATCACGTCTTTGGGCGCAGCAACTACCCATCAGTTAAGGCTCGCATGTTGCTATGGTAACCGAGCAGGTTTCATTGGAGATTTAAGACTAAGATGGACTAGGACGAGAGGCCTATATCTGAAAATCAGCAAATGAAAGCCCTATGGATCATAATGGTCTGATCTACAACCAATCACGGAAATGGGGCAAGGCTCTGTAGCCTAAGATTCTGTTGTACCTGGGGTTACCATGTGTCAAAGGCTGACACACCAGCAGCTAACAAATACTTCAAATACTGACATGTGTTGTTCAATGATGTAGCCACTAGCTAGATGTTTGCTGTTCCTTTTGTATATAAACAAAAATATTTATTACCATACCACAGAGAGCTAATTTCCCTAATCTATCAAAAATTTTCCTATAAGTAATAAAAAGAAATACTGGCAATGAAAATGAACACTGGCAATGGAGTATATTTAAAGATATCCAACTTCACCCTTTAGAGTAAAATATAAACTAAAACAAAAAATACAGTAAGAGACCATTTTTAATCATCAGCATGGCAAAGATGAAAAAGGTAGACCTATAAATAGACATTTTTATATATCACTGATGGGAGTATAAATTGATACACTACTTAGGAAGAATAATTTTATAAAACCTTTGAGCAGTGAGTTGAGTTTTGGTTTCCATTATAAATAGAACCGAAGTCATAAAGGTACACAATAATTCAGTATCCAAATCACTCAATTTCTGGAAATGTATCCTACAGTTATACTTGCACATATGCAAAATAAGAAAAGCTAGAGGGTTTTTCACTATATTACCCTATACATCCTAATCTGTCTACATTGTGCTTTTTAAATTTAACAATGTATCCAGGTATCTTAAAAACTGCAATTTGGAGAAATAATTTTTTTCATTCCCTTATGTTACCAACTGCCAGTTGCTCTCCACTCACAGTGACCCTATGGTAAGGGGTTCTGAAGCTGTAAATCTTTATGGAAAGAGATAGCCTCATCTCTATCTCACGGAGCAGCTGATAGATATGAACCATCAACCTTGAAATTAACAGGCCAATACTTAGTTCCACACACCAATTATGTTAAGGAAGAGAGAATTTCCTACAATATCCTAGATCTTTCTTTGCAACACTGCTACTGTTCTCCAAAATCTAATGTTCAGGGAATTCTAGAATCAGGGTCTCCTCATCACTGACTTCTGTTATGCCCTATGCAACCTAGCACTTAGCCAGTCTGGCAGACTTATTTTTCTTTCCCAAAACAAGATACACCTTGTTTTTCTGTTCTTCACTCCAGCAATTATCAGAACCTCCGAATGTCAACATTTAATCTCACAGAATGTTTAAAATTATTAATTTTTTGAATCACTGTGGGTCAAACTAAAAGAACAGCATTTCTTACATAGTTTCTGTGACATTCAACTTAGGATAACAGAATTAAATGACCCTCCACTAAAGGAGTAGTTTTCCAATTTAAATGAGCATACTAACAAACCTGGTTAAACAAATCTTGTTAAAATGCAGATTTTTACTCACATAGGCCTGGGATTCTGCACTTCTGAAAGGGTTCCTGGAAATCCTTATGGGACTAAAACACTTTAAATAGCAAGAGTCTATTTTAATGTAAACCTAACTGGCATTCAGAATTCTACAAAATTTGGTCCCTATTGACTTCTCTGACTTTATATCCCACTAATACTTTATAAGAAGCCCTAGTGGCACAGTGGGTTAAGCACCGGGCTGCTAACCAAAAAATTACATTCAAACCTGCTAGCTACTCCACAGAAGAACAATGAGGCTTTCTGATCTCTGAAGACTTACAGACTCAGGAATTCTATGAAACAGTTCTACTCTGTCCTACAATAGGGTCACTATGAGTCATGAGTCAGAATCAGCTTATTGACAGTGGGTTTCTTTTCCTATGCTTTTTAGAATTCACTTATGAAAATCAAAATATTCTACTCATTCCTTATGCATACAGAAGTTTTGGCCTTGCTTTTCGTCATTGAACTAATGGACACACTTAGGACTCATCTTGAATTTCATATTTTCCAAGAGACATTCCTGTCTTCTCCATCCCATATGAAACCCTCTTCACTGGGACTTCTGTATATATTGACTATAAAACTTTTATGTAGCTATTTACTTTATTTAAAAAAAAAAGGTCCATGGGTACTAAAATTCAGCCATGAATTTAGAACAGATCTCCAGAACAGATATGACACATTGAAAACCAGTGACCGAATACCTGGAACGCTCTGGGATGACATCAAAAACAGCATACATGAAGCAAAAAGTCATGGAAAAGAGAAGAAAGAAAATATCAAAATGGATGGCAGATCTTGAACACAGATTACCTAAAGCAAATAGATGGCATGATAAAGTAAAAGAGCTGAAGAGAAAATGTTAAAGGGCAGCTTAACAGAGCAAAATAAAGCATGATAATGAAAAGATCAGAATTAGAACACCAAAAAGAAGAACATGCTCAGTAAATCTCAAGATGAAAGAACTGAAGAAAAAGTCAAGTCTCAATATTCATTGAAGGACTGTTTGGACAAAAAATTGAACTACACAGGAAGCATCCAAAGAGCATGAAAAGAATACACAGAGTCACTGTACAAAAAGAATTGGCTGATAATCAACCATTTTAAGAAATAGCATATTAAGAACAAATGATATTGAAGAAATTAGTTCAAGGTACACTAAAAGTATTAGCAAAAATCAAAGCTCCAAGAATTGACAGAACACCTACTGAAATGTTTCAACAAGATAATGAAGCATTGGAACATTCACTCATCCTATACTGAGAAATTTGGAAGACAGCTATCCGGACAAGTAACTAAAAAAAAAAAACAAACAACCCTATATTTGTGCCCATTTCAAAGAATGGTGCCCCAACAGAATGCGGAAATTATTCAGCAATATCCTTAATATCACATGCAAGTTAATTTTGCTGAAAATAATTTGTAAAACATTTGCAGCTGTGAACTGGCAGAAATTTAAGTCAGATTCAGAAGAGGACATGACATGAGGGATAACACTGCTGAGATCAAATGGATCTTGGCTAAAAGCAAAGATTATAAGAATAATGTTCAATTGTATTTTATTGATAACACAACAACATTCAATTATATGGATCACAACACACTATCACTCGCATTGAGAAGAACAGGAAGAACACTTCATTGTGTGCATTCAGAACCTATACATGGATCAAGAAACAGTCATTCAAATAGTCAAGGATATACTGCTTGGTTTAAAATCAGGAAATGTGTATGTCAAGGTTGTATCCTTTCACCATACTTATTCAATCTGTATTCTGGGCAAAATAACCCAAGAAGCAAGATAATATGAAGAATGGGCATCAGGATTGGAGGAAGGCTTACTAACAGCCTGAGATATGCAGATGACCGAGTCATGTGTGCTGAAATTGAGTTAGACTTGAATCACTTGCTGATGAAAATTAAAGACTTCTCAGGATGGGTTCCCTTCAGTATGGATTGCAACTCAATGTAAAGAAAACCAAAATCCTCATAACTGGATCAATATACAACCAATGGAGACAAAACCTGAAGTTGTCAAGGATTTAATTTTATTTTCATCCAAATCAGTATTCGTGGAAGCAGCAGTCAAAAAAAAATCAAATGACATACTATATTGGACAAATTTGCTGCACAAGACCTCTTTAAAGTGTTGAAGAGCAAAAATGTTCCTTTGAGGACTAAGGTACACCTGTCCCATGCCATGATAATTTCACTTATCTCATATGAATATGGAAGTTGCATAATGAATAAGGAAAACCAAAGAAATGACAGAAATGAATTATGGTGCTGGAGAAGAATCCTGGAAGCACCATAGTCTGCAAGGCAAAAAACAATCTGTCTTGGAAGGCATAAAGCCATCATGCTCCTTAGAAGCAAGAATAAAAAGAGTTGGTCCTACATACTTAGGACACGTTATTAGAAGAGACCAACCAGTACCTGGAGAAGGGCATTATGCTTGGTAAAGTGGAAGGGAAACAAAAAAAGGAAGACCTTCAAGAAGATACAGTGCTTCAAAGGACAGCATGAAGCTACAGCTCAGGGAGAGGGGTGTGTCTGGTCAGAGCACACAGGAGCAAACTAAGAGGGAAGGAGAGAGAGTGGAACACCTCCTAGCACACCCAAGCCCCGAGGACAATATTACTGCTCAGAGGACTGGCTCCACCAAGAGACACAACATCCATCACTGACACACAGAGCTATGGGGGACAACACTGGAGACACAGTGTAGGAATTGTGCCCGAATTCACCCCACCACACTGGGGCAAAACACTAAGGGCGTGCAACAGAGCAGCAAGGGGAGCAAAGCAATGAAGTCCCCAGGGAAATACCAAAAATAGACTTTGGGGCCAGGGTGTTGCAACCCATCAGACTTGACCAGAAAACACTCCTCAAGGTCAACAAACAAATTATTTATAGGC